GCTACTTTCAGCAGGATAATGCGCCATGTCATAAAGCTGGAATCATCTCAGACTGGGTTTTAACTTGGCTTTTAATCTCAGTTTGTAGCACTTTAGGGGTTTTGGCACTTTTATTTTAGGAGTTTGTTCCCGATTAGTGGAGCATTAGAAATAAACACTGCTTCTCCATTTTTGATTCTGGCTCTGGGTATGCAGAGTAGATTTGTTGGCAAATTTGTTGCAGCCCTGGTAGAGTTGAGTTCAGATTCCCAACCTGTCAAACATGGCCATGACTTTCAGGAATACCTGAGAAGAAAGCTTCTTTTGCATTTGTAAGTAATATCTCCAGTCTCCCTTTATAGATGTTTAACTAATTTGCATTCAGTATATTGAAAATCCCCCTTTTCACTTCTCGCTGGTGGAGGATCCAGCATTTTTTCTTTCCAAAACAACGATCCCTTTAATTTGAGCAGTTGAATTAATGTATGAAATTTAAAAATGGCGCTTTTTTACCAGTCATCTGCAGAGTTAAGGGTAGATTATAATTCTGCAACCGCACACAAATGTTGATTGAGTCTGGTCGCAAACCAGTATTGCTGCTATGCTTCTGCACCGTATGTCTAGAATTTCTAGGGACGAACAGCAGTTTCCCACCAAAGTGCAAGGGGGAGCCTATTTGAGAACTTCGGCAGACGATGACGATAACTTTGGCGGCGCTGGCGGGAATGTTTATCTTCCAAATCAACAATGGCTTGTCTACAAGATATCAGGGTCACAGAGATGGATCTAGATTTGCTAGACATTGAATAGGAACAAATTCTGTTAATAAAATCGTTAAAAAGACAGATTAACCTTTCGACATAGTTGTCCATTGTAGTTGTTCCTTGGTTTTGACACTGAATAGAGAAAGACGACCACACGGAGAGCCGAAAAGGCATACCAAGGACCAATCACAGCTGCTTTTTGTCTGCCCCATTCCGCTTAGGGTCTGCGGCGGTTTGCGACCGTCCGACGCTTAGTCAGGATTTTTTTGAGGTGCACAGCAGACAGATTTGATGGTTGCAGAGGCTATGCGTCAGAAGCATAAATTGGCCTTTAAAGGGCAAAGTGGAGGTAGAAGAGTAAATCCAATCAAATGTTTCAGTAACACTGACCTTAACTATGTTTACAAAAAGAAAATAAGCTGATTTTTAACCCTGACAATTTTAACTGTTTTGATTTTTCTTCACAGTTTTTTTTTTTATAAAACAAAAATGATTAGATAAGGGAAAATCTGATAAAGACTGTTTGGATCCACAGTAATGATCAAGTCCAAAATATGTCTGTGTTTGTGTTCTTATAAAAGGGAACCTGGCCAAATAAAAGTGCAGATTTTCATTGTAGGTCTTATTCTGCATATGACAAAGCCTTTGGTCATGAGATTGTCACAGCTCAGAACAGAGGACACAGTATTCTGACAAGACAGACAGTGGAATAATACAAAAAGCCTTTATTAAAACAAAGAGCTGCTGATCTGCAGTAGGCTAGGGCATCCGAGGCAGGAAACTGCAGAAAGGAAACACAGGTTAGTGACCACTTAAATCTAACGGAGAACGTTTATGAATGTGTCACTAATCTGGTTTACAAGATCAGTCCATTGCCCGAGACACACACACACCTCTCTCTCACACACACACACACACATACACTGTACCAGAGACTGCACCTTACCTGCACTACCTCAGCCTGGAATAAACCATTGCTGCTGTTTTATTGCTTTTATTGCTTTTAATGTAATGTCTATACTTTATATTTATCTTATCACTGTTACCTGTCATGTCCCGCACTTTATGTCAGTTTTTAAATGTCAGTTTTGTATATTTCTTGTATATTTGTATATTTCTAGAGAGTAAACGTAATTTCATTTTCCTTGTATGTCTTGTACATATGAAGAAAGTGACAATAAAAGCTGACTTGACTTGATGAGGAAGGAAGTTAATGAGGTAGGATCCAGCTGATAGGCTGCCAACAAGATACACGGTGATACACTTTGAGCAGTTTTCCAGATGCTGCAGCCCCAGAGGACATGCAGGAGTCCGAAGCCAGGTCAGGCAAACAGATCAGAACAAGACTA